CCTTCTTAAAGTCCCTATACTTTTCAACTTTTACTATCCTATAATCTTCTCTCTAAGGCAAAATCTCTTCCTTTCTGTAAATGTTTACAAACGAAACGAGGAATGGTCTTTGGGGGACGCGTGGATAATGGGGCGATATTTAACGATTGCCCGCTTAGTGTTTATTTGTGCATCTAAACATTTTTTGATCGCGAGATCCATTCGAGAACAGTTCCAGTTGCCTTGTCGGCGGAGTCCAAATCAAAATCCCACCCAGCGTGGGTGATTTTTGATTTTAATGATACACGGGGCAAGTATTTTTTGAGTTATTGCACATAGTGCGCCCAGTGCGTAATAAAAATCCTCGTCCCGGTCTCTCGATCTGTGTACCATAGTGTAGTTTTTATTGTTTCTCTGACGATTTAATTAAATTTGTAAAGCGTGCCGCCAGTCGATGTCGATGTTGATGTTGATGCTGTTAGTTGGCCATTTAGTTGCAGCTTTTATTTGTTTGCTTTAGGCGCGTCGTCATCCCCGTCGCCCTCTTAATTCCTTTCAATTTGTAGTCCCATTCCAGTTTTAGTCTCGGTCCTAATACGATTTCACACGTTATCCCCTGGCCGACATCAGTGCGTTTTGTTTTTAGTGCCGCAATCAAAAGTTTTGCAAATGTTTATGCACATTCTTCGGCGACCACAAGTCTTTGGCAATTTGTTTGTTGTTCTATTTGCTGTTGCCATTTTTGTATTTTTATGATGGAGTCAGAGTCATGCAATGTAATTTATAGAGCTTCTCGATCAATTTGTGATTTATTTTGTTTTTTGTAATATTATTTGTGTAAAAAGTAATTGATTTAATTGTACATTTTATAACACTTCAATTATATTTTTATTGCAAAACTAATTCGTATTTCGTATTTAATTATAATATATAGCACATTCTAAAGAAGACAACGCATTTTAATATTGTAGAAAATCCTTTCCATATTTTTCGTATCCATCTTACTTCCCAGATTTGTTGACTAGATTGAACTATAACCACTTAGGTTATTTACATATCAGAGCCAGTTTCGATCGCTCTTTATTCACATTCCCACTCGTGGCCATATAATTTATAGAGCCACACACGTTTCTTCATTAAATTCCACGTGTTTATTTGTTTAAACTAACCTTTTATGAGGCAGTGGCGCTACATCAAGCCGCAGACACACACAGATTTTCCGGGGCGTCGGGGTTATCTATCACATCGTTCTATATAGTCGCCGCTGCTGCTGACAGCTAATTGAATTTAATTGGTGCGAACAAAAATTTACAGAAAATATAAACAAAAGTTTCTTGTTCTTGTTGTTGTCGTGTTTTGTGTAGCATAATTTTATGAGTTGTTTATTTCGTTAAACAAGAATAACCTTAACTTGTTATGGCACATTTTTATTGTCGCTTGTTTATGAATAAAAACAAAGCCAAACAGAAAATGAACCGAATAAAGGAAAGCTGGGATACTGGCTAAAAAGTTGAAGTCTTTTATTTTCGTATTCAAAATAATTGTGGTCAGACGAATTCACGATCTGGGCGTTAAAAATTTATAAACGAATGTCGGCTCTGCACGATGCTGACTGAGAATTTTCGAATACCCTAAAAAGGAGTTAATGGGTATAACCTAAAAGTAAAGATGGTATTGCTGTGATTATTAAATTGATAAAATTTGTGTTTCAACATTTTTATTAACCATCAATAAAGCTTCTTTATAGAATAGTTCTTCCAAATAAATTCTTTTAAGTTTCTGGAAAAACTTAGCTTGGTTTAAGTTATATTTTGTTTACCTTTGTTACGTGCTAGTCTAGTGGATTTAAATTATATAATATTATCTCAAAAACTCTATTTTACAAATGTAGAGCATTTAAAATTCCTTAGGCATACCTCTGAGAATTGTATTACCAACATCTCCTACAAAACTCACGGGATACTGTGGCGCCACTTGGCCATGGTCCGAGTCATTGATCGTCATCTGTAAATCATTTTGTGTGACAACCCGCTGACAATTGGACGAGAGGGATCTTCGGAATGAGCTGCAGGAGGAGACAGCTCAATTCGGATGGAATGGTGGCTCCAGGTTTCTAACGAAGTCCCTTAACGACGACTGAGTTGTACGGACACTCATATACAAACATAAAGTCGCGTGGCTTATTTAAAATTAACAAAGCAATAAAAATGCAAACTCAAGGCAAGCAGAACGATAACAATGTGGGAGAAAAAGAAAAACGAGACCTGGAATATAGCCTGCAGTAAAATAAGTTCATTGTGGGGATAAAGCAAATTGAGAGGCCGTAGCCTGGGATACTTAGTCATTCTAATACCGAAAGCGAGGGAAAAAACTGAAGCCACTTTCCAAGGAAATCCTTATCGACCCGCCAGCTTATCAAATCGGTGGCTAACAAACCCAAATCCCTGACCAGTCCACATGGATTTTCTTATCGACGTGATCGCTTATTCGACCTGGCCAAAACAATGCAACGCGCAATCAGCAACACTTCATCGGCCACCAAAAAAGAAAAAAAACCAAACTGAAAAGGGGAGTGGGGAATATAAAGCCACAGCAAATAAACAAAAGGACACAGCGCGTAATGAGGGCGAAAATATCTTTATTTAAAAAGCCAGTGAGACTGGCTTCCTTGGAAGACAACAGAAGTCTCTGACTCCGAGTTGGAGTCCCTGGTGCTGGGCAGCATATTTGTCATTCGCAGGGAGCCTTAGGCGGTTTGGCGATATGGCCCGGGGCAATAATCATGAACAGATCTTGTAGACGCCGCCATGGACCAAATGCTCCTTAATTAGATGAGGCGACAAGCCAAAAGCCAGGAGCTGCAGGCCAGCTTTGTCCTCGTCCTCTGCCTAGAAGCACTTCGAACACGATCAACGATTTACACTAAAAAGAAATCGCAGTTATTATTATTTTTTGTTGTAAAATAAATTAATGATGCAGTTTGTTATAGAATTTAAATACAATTTATTAGAGGTATGCCACTTCAAATTCTGATTAAAATTAGAAAAATTATGGTTTTAGAAATAGTTAATATTGGTCAATTTACAGTGAACCCATTTTTTGCAAATTCGAAAAGGGGAAGCAAAAAAATTTTTAAAAAAATCGACCAAAAAATAAAAAATTAACTAATGATGCAATTGATTAAAGAATTAAAATACCAACTTTTAGGATCCTTTTAAATATGTTTATTATTAAAAAGTAATTTGTTACAATATTTATTCTTTTTATTATTCTTAAAAGAGTACTGTAAAGATCTAAAAGTTAAGCAAGCTATTATATATAAATTATCCATTCATTTATAAGTGTTGATAATTTTAAATAAAATATAAATAAATATTTTTTGAATAAAAATAGTCTTCCATATTTATTCTTTACTGTTTATATGAATATGTAGGCACCATTATTAATTCTGTTTTTCAAGTGCATCTGCTCTTAGGTTCTGTTTTGGGGTATATTATGGAACGGTGGCCAAAACAATGCCGTGTTTACAACTTGTACGCTATGCAAGTGGCATGCTCATACCTCCTCCCCCCCTCTTTCACCACAGAACCCATTTAGTTATCCCAAATCCATGCCCTTTAGGCCCTTAAGTCGATGTCTGGGAAGCTACTTCAGGCTTGCCGGGTCTCGACTTCTGCCACTAATGGCATATTTTGCATTCCAATAAGGCATTGCGCCAATTGCAAATAATTTCCGAGTGTATAGTCAACTTAATAAGATCACGATTCTCAGATAAGCCGCCTAGATAGCAACTAGGACTTCCAGCAGGCACCAAAGGGTTTGAATATGGTTAACAGGGGTTAGGGCAAGTGTGGGAGTTCCACACACACACAGCATATTCATAAGTACGAATTCTTGACTTGATCAGAGATTATTAGATTAACATAGATGGCATTTTAGGGTACTAAAAATTGGGGTTGTTGACTCAAAGTGGAAAATATTTAAAAAATTACTTGATTATTTAAAGCTTTAAAATATGATAATTTAAATGTATAAATAACTTCTGAATACACTTTAATTCAGTCCGACAAGCATAAATACATATATACATACCTTCCACTTTTTGCAAATTTATTAAATCTTAAATATGTATTCTTTACAATTTTTAAATTAATACGTTCGAGTCGTATTTTCTTTAACTGCATTTTGCACCTTTTTTTGTTCTTTATTTTTTAAATGGCTTAGAATTTTTGTTTTAACACATATTCCTCCTAACCACTAAAGAGTATCTGCTAGTCATTCTGCTACTTAATTTTGTCCAAGAAACAATAACTTAATTTAGTTGTCTTACATCGTGTCGTTGTCGTCGCCAGTCGAGGCAGTCGGTCCAGACACCCCCGATCCGGGTCCTTGTGGCCACGGTTCACTGTAGTGGCAACCTTTGCATGGTGGTATGTCAGCAATTCTGTAAACAGGGGATCCGTTGTCCGCGGGGAGAGGGGAAGTGGAGCCATGGCGGAGTACGCATATGGATTGCGGATCGGGTTTTCGGAGTCGCGTATGTAGCGCCAATTACACACAGCCAAGTTAAGCAGTTCCAACTCTACGGCTCTCTGTTGCGAAATCTGTAAATCTAAGCTGGGCCACAAAAAAAGAGAGGAAAATCGGCAAAGAAAAAAACCACCGCAAAATGCCATTTGACCAAGATGGGTCCGAGATGATAAAGCGACCGACCGATTCGCCCAGACGTGGGCGCCAAACAATTCAATGCAAAAGGGGCAATTAAACCAGAAAAAACGGCAACCGATACACATGGAAAATTCTAGTAATTAAACTAATATCTTAACTAAATTATATAGACACTGAGCTCAAGAAAACAATGCATTAATATTGATCGTAAATAGCAAAACCTTACAGCAATGGAAATTCTTTGAGTATCGGTTGCCTTGTACTTTGTTACCTATTTTTCCTCCCAGTGTTATTCGAATCCCTTCATTCCCCCACTTTTGAGGACCAAGCCCATCGAATTAATTTGCGGCGCATTTTAGTTTACAACTTTGTAATTAATTTGCAAAAAGGGACAGACACAGAAGGAGGCCTTAAGCCACCGATCGGGTGACATTTGTTCCCTCCCAGCTCCGCTTCCCCAGGCTTTTTTCCCATTGACATTTGCGTGCTGGTGATGTCTTTATGGTCTGGATTTGGTGTTTAGAGTAGTCGGTATTTAATGGCACGCAGCATGGGGAATCGATCGTTGGTGCACTGACCACGGAAATCGTCTAGGGTTAGATCGAACAGAGCCACTCCACCCAGATTCCTGACCCTGGCGAATTGAGCCTTGCTGGAGGCCGAATCCGGATCATCGTAGCTGATCCACAGTCCGTGATCTCCGTTCTCATCGGCGGCACGGAAAGCGTAGCTGCCATAGCGTTTTGTGGGATCGAGAACCCTTTTCACCGGAGCATTCGGTCCCCTGGCATTCGAGTTGCTGGGATTCGGCATCAGCAAACAAATCTCGGCCCAGTTGAGAAGACCCTCCTTTTTGCTCTGAGGACCAGCCGGTGCAGGTCCTTGGGTAGCAGCAACCACTGGCATTCCGGTGCTTCCCGAATCCGTAGACAGTTTCCAGGCTCTGCCGTAGGTGGCAATACCAATGTTCAGCTTATTGGCAGGCACTCTCTGGAGCAGCCAGTGTTCCAATTGGAAGTTAACGTTGTAGTGACCCAAACGATTCTGTCCAACGGCCTCGTACATTGGGGCAGAGAAATCAGCCTCCTCGGGATTACGTTGCGGGGTCAGGAAGTCAAAGGTACCCAGGTTGATGAAGTCCAGGCTGGGAGCAATCGAGGGAGCATCGTAGTACCCTTTAAAAAAATGTATATTAAAAACGTGTAAGGTTTGTTGCCATTTTGACTTAATTTTAAGCATTTATAAACACATTTGTGAACGAACTCAGGTAATAAAAACTGTGGTTAAATTAAAATTAATGCTTTCAAAAAACTTGTTACACCAGTTAATCTAATTTTTTTTGATGACTCAAGTAAACCGCTTATTTGACTCATCTAATTGCCCCAGTTATAGTTTGTAATTAGAATAATGGTTAATTATTTGCACACTTACAGCTTGAGTTCACGTTGGGCAGAACCGTAAGACTGAGCAGCAGATCATTTTGCTTCAAGGCGGCACTCAAGTCCTTGATCAGAGCAGTCAGTTGTCCTTTGTGGGTATCCGATTCAGTGTCCACAATAAAATCGCCAGTGAAAAACTTCTTGAAACTCTTCCAGGCGGAACCAACATCACTATGAACTTTGCGTGGCTTGTTTCTCGGAAGTTGGAGGGCCAAGTCCAAACCATCGAAATTATAACGCCTCACAATATCCCTCGCAGATTCAATGAAACGCTTGTGACCCTGTTGTCCCGATTCCAAGAGTTTTATATACTGGTTGCCCTCATTTGTATCTGCGTCTCCACCCACACTCAAAAGGAACTTGATGTGGGGATAGCGATCCTTTAAGCTGGACACTTGGGCCAAGTGACGCTGTTCGAGGTCCAAACGCTTGTTGATACTCTGCATTTCGTAGTTATCGGCATTTACACCGGCATAGCCGTAAATCAAGTGAGTGCAAAACTGCAGGGCCAGTTCCATGTCCGTCATCGAGAACTGAGCAAGGCCTAGATTGGGGTTTACGTAATTAGAAATGCCTACAAATTGCACTTTCCCCAATTGGGAAAACTTACCCTGACGCTGGAAGCCCTGGGAATCATAGAAGCAAACCAGATTAGGAGCGGCGTTCACTTGAAATTGAGCGAAAATCGCCAGACTCAGTGCCAAACTGAGCCACAGAGAGCCCGTCATCTTTCAGAGAGATAAACCCAGAGAGCTCTACTAAATCAAAACAAAATCGCTACAGACTACCTTCGGTGGAGGTATTGCTTGTAACAGTCCGTCGCCGTCGAGATGCGAAACCAAACTGAATTCGAAATGACAATAAGCACTGGGAATTGGAATAAATATGGGCAGTGGAGCTTTTCAGCTGAATCGCCTCCGCCCGATTCCCCGGAACGAGCCGAAAACCCCAGGCAAACAATAGCAAACGCAACTCGCGAGGCTTATTATCAACGAAATTCAACGAATTTGTTTGTCTCAAGTGACAACGGGGGTTCAATGAGATCACCTCTCGTCTTGGTAATTTACACAGAAAACAGGAGCAGATAGTACGTCTTAATTGAGATAATGCCCACCGACTCATAGTTTAAATAGGCAAGATCTCCAGCTATTTATGGGTGCACCAGTGATAAGTCTGCAGTTTATAAGGTGTTGACGAATTAGCAAGGTCGCTATATGTCGACTCATGCCCAAAATTATGGAAATATTTAGCTTGGATGTGGCCAAGGGATTACGGAGAAGTTAACTTTGTTTGTATGCGGTTTATTGATGATGAGGTTTCAAGGTCCAATAAAAGTGGGTACCTAGCGAGTAAGTGCAAAATCAACAAAGGTATTACAATGAAAAGTAGAGTGGATGATTAATCACATTAAAAAGCTTTCGAGAACAACTTTCTGAGCTGTATCGAAGGTTTCCAAAATTTAATTTATAATAAAAATCAGTAGCCCGAAAAAAACGAGAATATTTAAAGCAAAGATAAGGAATTTATATTTGAATTAAAAAGAAAATTGTACTATATTTATAGCATTTTATTTATATAAATTAAATATAAGAAATAATGCTTTTAAGGATTTAATACATTCCCTCTAAGAAAATACACATCATATGCAAGTTAGCATTATACATTATAATTTATTTGAAAGTTTTTACCAAACAGACCATTATTTACATTTATAGACGATATTTGACGGCTCGCAGAATGGGATACTTGTCACCTGTGCACTGTCCCCGGAAATCATCGTAGCTCAAATCGAACAAGGCCACGCCCCCTAAGTTCTTAGCACGGGCGTATGCCGCCTTGTTGGATGCGGAATCGGGATCATCGTAGCTCACCCAAATACCTTCGGTGGTTGCACCATCTACAGGTCGATACGCAATACCACCGAATCTCTTTGTGGGATCGGAAATCCTTCGCAGTGGCGCATCGTTGCCCTTGAGGAACTGGTTTTGAGGATTGCTCAGTTTTCCGCAAATCTCGGCATAGCTTAGAAGTCCGGGTTTCTGGGATTGGACACCCTCGGGAGCTGGTCCCTCAGTTTCGGGCACCACAGGAACTCCTTCGAGTCCGGAGTCCTTGCTCAATTTCCAGGCGTTTCCATAGGTTGCCACTCCCAAGTTTAGTTTGTTCGAAGGGAAGCCCTGTTTCAACCAGTAGTCCACCTGGAAATCAGCGTTGAGGTGGACCAGGCGGTCCTTCGATCCATCGGGATGGTAGATGGGAGCACTGTAGTCCGCCTCCTTGGGATTACGAGCGGGGGTCAGGAAGTCGAAGGCAGCCAGGTTCACAAAGTCCACCAAACCGTTCAAAGAGGGGACATCAAAGTACCCTTCAGATAGAATTATTCATAATTTGAACTTTGTAAATAGTGAACCTAAATATTTCTGTAGTACTCACAAGTTGAGTTCACGTTGGGCAGAACAGTCAGACTGAGCAGGTAACCATCAGCTCGCAGGGAGTCCTTGATGTCCCTTACAAAAGCTGTGAACTGCTCCTTGTGGAGAGCAGCCTGTGGATCCACGATGAAATCACCAGTGAACAGCTTCTTGATGCTCTTCCAAGCCAATCCCAAGTCGCCGTGCACCTTTCTGGGCTTATTTTTGGGGAACTGATAGGCCAGATCCAGGCCATCGAATCCGTAGACCTTCACCAAGTCATAGGCCGATCGGATGAATCCAACTTGTTGCACTTTTTCGCCCTCCAGCAGTTCGATATATTTATTGGGATGCTCCACATCGATGTCGTGATCACCTCCAATGCTCAGCAGAACCTTCAAATGGGGATACTTGGCCTTAAAGGCGGTCACTTCGGCGAACTGATGCTTGTAGATGTCCAGGTTTTCGTTGAGACTGTACGCCTGGTAGTTGTTGCTACGGATTCCGGCATAGCCGTAAATCAAGTGGCTACAGAACTGCAGACCGATCTCCAGATCGGGATTGAGCAGCTTGCCCAGACCTGGAAAATTCGCAATTTAAATTCGAGAGATGGCATTATTCACTATGCACAAAATGTACGATAAACTGCACTCGAATGACAAACAATCCGAGGTTCGGAGAGCACATTGTGTGACACTATCAGTGCACTGAGATCTGATCTGACACCCAACACTCTCACTCTTGCCGAAACTACTGGGGAGCCGGTGATCGGCGGGGTGTCCCCTAATCACCACCCCCTTCCGGAGAGTGATCCATTGTCTCGCCGACTTCAGCGGCTTAATTGAACGCCAACAGTGTGATCGCAGCGAGCGGTTTATTGTTGTTCGACTCGGGTGCTGGGCACAGTGGGACAAAGTGAAAGGAAAACTATGCGAAATATCATGTAAATCAAACTATTAAAAAAAACAAAAAAAAAAAAGGATTGAAGTTTTATCTAGCTTTAAACATTTTATAATTAGAAGATAAAATATTATTTTTTGGCTAACTTTGAGTTTTTAAAAATTCTAAGGAACAGTTCTACAAACCAATAAATTACCGCACTAAGCTACATATTTGTGAATTGATAGAACAGAAAAAAATATTTTATAAACTGTAGTTATGCCTTTAGGAATATACCAATTCTTCCATAAAGATTTTAATCGACTTAAAATATCTTTCAAACTATGTTTAAAAATTGAATGTTTTTGACCGTAATCTGGTTTTTACCCAGGACACTGTACCGCGCTGCTGAGTCACTTGGTGCTCTGCTTGCCACTTGTTTGGAGCGCTGCTGGTGCCAAGTCAGCGTCCGCTGGCGGGGCAGTTGTCGTGCTGGACTCGCTGTGTGTTGAACGCTCTGGTTTTCATTTCGAATGCGTGGGAGCGGCTCTGTATCGACTTAACTCGCCTAAGCTTGGATCAGGGAAAGATCAAAATACACCACTAATTGCCATATTTTGGGTGATCATTCCGTAATTACTGCTCATTATTACTGTTCGGTAAGTTAACTCCGCTCTAATTAGCTTGTTAGCCCGATCGAAGATGCTGCCAATTATGGCTTTGCGAAGAGAAATCTCTGCGGGAGAACCAGTCGCTCTGCATTATTTTGAAGAAGAAAACTTGTCCGATAAGCCACTGACCTCTCCACAACTAGATTAAGCTCTCTTTATCTCTCAGTCGCTCTCGTTGGGCGATAAGCGCTGCGAACTGAACTGAATTAAATTAAGTCAGAGTTTTGTTTTGAAACACAAATGGTTATGTAACTTGATTAGCATGCCTTTGTTTTTATCCGTTGGTGAATTTGGCACATGTTAATCAGTGCTTGTGCTAGTTTTAGGCGCTGCTTTGGTGGGCCTATCGTACTCGTTTATATACATACATACATACATATAATATATCAAGTCTATGTTGATAAAAAGTAAGTAAATAAGTCTAAGCTTTAATCTTCTATATAAATATTTATAAAGTAATCAATTTGGAGTAGACTTAAAACTTTTTAGGAAGTAAACAAAAAAGGTAAAAATATTCTACATTAAATCCGAAAACCAATCTTTAGACTTTGAGTGCTCTTCACAGTTGCTTTCTGATCCCTCTTATTAATTGAGAATATAGCCTTTCCCCACTTACCTTCCCTCGTGTAACTCGAAGAGTCATAGTAGCAGACTAAATTGGAGGCGGCTTCTGTACTTGCCGCAAAGAGACACGCGACAAACGTAAACCAGATCCAGACCTTCATGGTGCCGGGGATATATCTTTGTAAACACAACCGCAGTGCAGATCGAATGAAATCGAACTGAGTCCGAGTCTGAAATCGAAATGAAAACCGAAACCGAAACCAAAACCAACGACAAAAAGCTTGAGAAGAGCTTTAAGCGGACGGGGGAATATCAAGACCAGAGTCGAGCTCCAACCGATTTCATTGTAGGTTTTACTTATTCTCGCAATGACTTAATTGTGTACACACAAGTTAATGACGACGATTGCGACGGGACAGACGCAGGGTCAAGACTTTAAGGCCTCTGAATACGAAAAAACAGACAAGCAATCTGAAAACATTGAAACGCGCTCGATGATTAGAATGAAAAGTATGAATTTTAAAGTTATTTCATAAGTCGTCTGCCACATATTAATTTTACCACAAGCAATCATTATTTGTTTCGCTAATCGAAAAGTGATTTGAATACGTAAACTGAAAGTTTGGGAATTTTGCAAAGATAATGTAAAGTGAGCGTGCGTTCTACGTCAAAGTTCTATAAAAGTGTGAACCCTTTCTAACTGGTTCTGTTACCAAAACCTAATGATGTCTTTCGGAAATTAAATAAAATATATTAAAAATAAATTTATTAAATATGTTGGTATTTATTTTCAAAATAAACTATAAAGCTATGACCATTTACAAAAATACTTTATCCCATAAAATATTTTATTGATCGAAGAATTGGGTATTTTTGGCCAGTGCACTGGCCCCGGAAGTCATCGTAACTCAAATCAAAAACGGCGATTCCACCTAGACCCTTGCCCTTGGCATATCCTGCCTTTATTCCGGCGAAATCCGGATCATCGAAGCTAAGCCAGACTCCGTAATCTCCCTTCTCATCCGCCGGACGAAGGGCGTAGTTTCCGTACTTCTGTGTAAGATCCGTGACCTTGCGAAGAGGCGCCTTGTCTCCTCGAAATGGGGCGGATGAATTCTGCGACAACTTGGAGCAAATCTCGGGCCAACTGAACAGACCTTCGGTACTGCCTATTTGATTACCGCCGGGAGCAGCACCAAACGTATCGTGGACAATTGGAAGTCCACTCAGTCCAGAGTCACTGGTCATTTTCCAGGCCCTTCCATAGCTAGCAATTCCCAAGTTCAACTTCTGGAGGGGGACAATGATACTGCAGCCAGTAGTTAACCTGGAAATCCACATTCAAATGGGGCAAGCGATTCTGTTCGTCCTGAAGGAACAGGGGAGCGGTGAAGTCGGCTTCCTCGGGATTTCGCAAGGGGGTATAGAAATCGAATAGTGCCAAGTTGATATAGTCGAAATGCGGATGCAGTTTGGGGATATCAAAGTACCCTGAAAATAGTTTATAAATAATGTGGTCAATTAAACACAACTTAATATGTATGTTTTGATAAGTAAAACGTGCCGTACGCTGACTTGGAAAAAAACTTTCTCAAGGTTATCTCTGAATGCGCTGATCTTGACCCATAATTTTTTAAAAATATTATAAATTATTGTGTGTGAACTACATTTTCCTGCTGATTTGTACTTACAAGTTGAGTTTACATTGGGAAGAACCGTCAATGACAGCATAAGATTAGCAGATCGGAAAGCGTTTCTTATATTTCCTGCGAGATCGGTGAACTGAGACTTGTGCACCTCCGACTGGGGATCCACAATAAAGTCGCCAGTGAAGAGTTTCTTGAATGACTTCCAGTATGTTCCAATAGCACCGTGGACTTTTCTGGGTTTATTACGGGGAAACTGGAAGGCCAGATCAAGGCCGTCAAATCCATTACGCTTTAGCAAAATCATGCTACTATCTATGAAATTCTGCTGGGCAGTACGATTCGCCTCCAGTAGTTCTATATATTTATTGGGATGAGCCTCATCCACATCGTGATCGCCTCCCACACTGAGTAGAATTTTCAGCTGGGGAAACTTCTGGCGCAAGGCCGTAATATCCTTATAGTAGAACATATCCAGGTCCACATTTAAGCTGAATAACTCGTGGGTTCCGGCCTTTAGACCCGCGTATCCATAAACCAAGTGGGTGCAGAAACTCAGGGCCAATTCCAATTCGTAGGTATGCATTTTGGCAAGACCGTCCCGCAAAAACGATGTCGAATCATAGTAGCAGATCAAATTGCTGGCAGAATCGGCAAAACTTATCACACTGAGCAGGCCCAGCAAGTAAAACAGATGAAATTTCATCGTTTTGTAAACAGTATACGTCCTGACTTTATGAATGATAATTAGCTACTGAAACTCATTTAAAAGCTCTGTGGCTCAAGTTTTGCTTATCTCACGGTTCTGCCGATGATGCCATTATCAGGTTTTCAGGGATTACGTAGTTCCGATGTCAATGTTTTCCTATTTTATTGCGCTTGTCTGTGCTGTTTTGTCAGTCTATTATATTTTTACGAACTGCTGTGACTCAACTTTAAGGGGCCTTTTTTATGGAAAAGTTTGTTTACGTTTTTTGTGTGATTTGAATAAACAACATGGTTTATTTGAATAGATAAGTTAAATGTAAGGTTTTCCAGTGAAAACAAGCTTTTGGAATTAAAATATAATTTCTTTGATTTAATAATAAAAAAATTGCCAAATTTGTTTTCAATAAACTTGCTTTAAATGAGTTTACCATTAGGAATTTAGTACCTCCGATGCCTGGAACTTGTAACTCGCTTCTTTTTGCGCATCATCATCACCGTCGTCATTAGGCTCTTGATGAAGGTGAAAGACTTTCAATTAGCCGACCCCGAACACATCTGTAAGACCCGACTCTCGAGTGGAGGACAACCTGCTGGGCTGCCGAATCTTAAGCAGCTGTTTTGGGTCCGCGGGGAGGCACTTAAATCAGGAACCAATTGAAGCATTAAATACCCCAAACAAAGCAGCGAAAGATGTACCTTGGGCAGAAGTCGAAATGGGACAACTAATGGCAACAGTCACAACAATGCGATGGGGATGGATGTGATCCGATGGGCAGGATATATGTGTGTAGTACATATATTCCCTCATATGTGACACAACCAATTAGACAAAAGGACGTGGCGGGTACTTGCAGAAGAATGCGAAATAATCCTCACACGCTGCTTAGAGTTGACAATGAAAACCCGGAAAATCGGGGGCTGGGGCTGAAAGGCGTGTTCGTGTTGAGAGGCGGCATTATCCTCGAATGTCCTCGAATACGAGTCTGTGTTTTATCCGCAGCCATATCTGTATCTGTGTCTCGCATTGTTGTTTGATTTATATCGGAGGCCCGGCTCATCATCATCATCTCATTGTTTGCTCACACCCTCCCCTTCTATATCTCTTCTATATCGCTGTGGCCCAGATAAAACCAGACCAACCACTTCTGACCTTAGCCCATGTCCACTGTCTAATAGCCACAAATCCCCATTTCCATCTAGCCACTATTTGCTTTGGTCTTTTTGGGTCGTTTTAGGTGTTCATATCGGCTAGTTTCGATTTCATCAATCAGTCAATCATGGCTTGGCAAATAGAAATCAATGCCAAATAGCTTAATGTGTGAATTAATGGGCCATTTGGCTGGATTGTATTACATTTATGAGCTTTGGTATTTGACTTTTAGTTTAGTACCCAATAAAACTTTAATAGCTAAGAAAATTTTGGTGAGATTTGGGTTTTAAAATAATAAAGTATTTTGAATATGTACAACACCCTTATTATTATTCCAAAAATTCCGTTGTAAATAATCTAAAGTACCTACTCTTAAAAGTATCTTTTTCAAACACTTTAACTTGTCTTACATTTTCATTCACCTCACTTCTGTAACTTGAAATTGGTTTCCATTATTGTGCGTCCTTTGGATCCCAACTTTGCTATAATTAAGTCCAATAATAATTTAAACAAATACCTTTGGCACCCCCAGGCTCACCTTGAGCCTCATTATCTCTGGTAGCAGGTGCAAAAAACCGCAAAACATTTGCCTTATTTCATATTTCTAATTAGACAGCCGCCGCTTTTCCAAAGTTTTTGTAACCGGGCAGACAATGCAAAGCCCGGAAGTACCAGAGGAAAATTCAATTTTCACAAAACAATTGCCATTAGGCAAAGGTTTTCCTCTGCCAGCAGAATATATACGAGTGCGCTGCCCAATTGATGTGCCTAATCAGTTTATCTAAAGTATTCTTTGCTGCCTTTTTTGGGGGTTGCTGCCCAGCAGCAAATTCATCATTGTCAAATGTTCGGCTTGACATTTTCTAAAAGGGGGCTTGGAAAAAATGTAAACTTTTTTGAGGCAACTTTTGGCTTTTTTTGAGGGTTGCCTTTGGCGGGCAATATAATTAGAAATTCATAATGAATTTTATTTGCTTTGGCCGCAGAGAAAAAAAAAAGAGAGAAAAAATAACAACACGCGGCAACGTCGCCTTGTCCAAATGTATTTTTTCGGTAATATTGACGCGCATTTTTGTGCAAATAAAATTAAAGCGCCCCCATACCATTTTCGCCCTTATGAACCCACCGCATAAACAGACCGAGGCATATCAAATTATCATCCAAGGGCTCGGCAGTAGTCAGTCATTCAGTCAGTCAGTCCATCTGTCGGGAATTCCGGGTCGAGGCTTGGACTTTAATTTTTTTTTGTGGGGAGGTGTTTTTCGTCTGGGGGATCTGAGGGTGTTAATGCGGCGTGCAGGTATCAAAGCGACGTTTGAAAAATGAAATTAAAAATTTTTGTTGATTTTAGCGCAAAAAGAAATGGATAAAGCGAAAAAAATGCTAGACAAAATTAAGCTAAGAATGAGATTAAAACCGAAGGAAATATACTCTTCTGAAATATAGAACGTTCTCTAGAAACAAAAAGGTAGAAATAAACAAACACAACAATTTTGATGTACTCTTTCCTTTATTTTTAAGGTAGAATTTTTAATCGATAAAGATTTTTGAAAAACAAGCTTTATACCTTAGTATCAAAACTCTGTTACTTATAGAAGAATAACATCGCCATGTCTCCAAATCTAATTTTTAATGAGTCAAAGAGCTCTTCTTGGGATATCCATGTCATTAGAGGAGTCGGAGTTCCATTCCAAGGAGCCAGCCAGTCCAGAAATCCCCCCTGACGTTTCCATGAAACTGTCATTCATTAGGTGAAGACATTTTGTTGCTGTCTTCATTAGAGTCCGGCATCAAAGTAAGTTGGGAATTTATCTATCTTGCAGCTAGGGTTTCCTGCTTGTTGCCGGGTCCGGAAATTGCTTTGGTTTTTGCGGATGACTACTTGGCGCCACATGTCACCAATACAGAACAAAAAAAAACGAGGAGCAGGACCTTGAAGGACTTCTCTTTGGCAGCAGACTGACCTTCGGTGTGTTGCTCATATTCATTATAAGCCCAAATAACTGTTGTCGTTGAGTGGCAAGTGTCAAAATACCATGGCCCAAAAGGATTGTTACCATCGCACGTCGGTTCCCCGAGTTCCCCTCCTCGATGGCGCCTTCTGGTTTTCTGCTCAATTTGTTCTGGCGTCGATTTGGCCAACTTCTTCTCCGTTCCCTTGATTTTTCCCTTTTTGCGGGCTCGAGTTTCCAGTTGCAGCTAACTGACTGCTTATTGGCCTGCCTTTCGGTTGGCCACTTGGCCCGGCTCATGTGATTTACCAGGGCTCTGCTGCTCAAGTGTCAGCAGTAGTCGAAGGGAAACCTTAGTGGCGACTGGCGACAGTTGGCCCTGGCTCAATATTAAGCCTCATTTCTGGCCAATTTCGCCCCACACTTTCTGATAACTGTTGCCGTAAATCAATATCGACGCTTTGTGGTCAATCAAAATGCGATATTATAGTTGTGCATTTTTGGTTTTAAGTCGGAAAAGCTGCAACTTTTTATGGGAATGATATCCCATATGTCAACTCAGCTTTTTAATTATATCCAATTTTAATTATTTTTATTTTATGAATACCTCTTTGGATAAGTACGGTTTTTTTCTGGATTTAAATAAAAATCTAGAAGCCATTAATCAATTTATATCATTCATAACATACGCTTAAAAGCAAAAGAAAGTCGTTGCGACATTAATTCATTGAAAAATATCATCAAAATTGAATGACAAAATCAATGTCATAAATAATAATTAATGCCACTTAATGCCCACTACCAACGACACTCGAGCTGAGCTGCGAAAAGAGTTAATATAAATAAAAATAAAAGCAGAACATAAATCAGAGAGGGAGAAAGCAGAGACAGACAGTTGGCCATAAAAATGGTTTATAAGTCCATAAAAACCAATTGTTTGCATTGTCCGTAATTGCATTAAAAAAGCAAAAGCCATGCGGACTCTGCAATAAATACTGATGGGGAATTGGAAAAAATCGAAAAGTGAAGCGTATGCATTTTTAATTTCAGACTTAACGCGCCATATAGAATGTAATTAAAACAGAATCTGATTAAATAAAAACAAATTAAGTGGTTTGTAAATAAATTGAAAAGCAAATGGGCAAGCAAAAAACAAGTAAATAAATTTGCGGCTTTTGTTATGTTACATAAACTACATTTTACTTTTTTTGTTTCTCTTAATCACAAACAATGCATTAATAACGTTAGCCAACAGCTAATGATATAAAACCAAACTGTCTACAAATTTTATGAATTTTATAAAGCCGTGCCAGCTTTATATATTTGAATCGGATATAAAGGAAGTTCTACTGCTTGAACTTTCACTTAAAGCAAAAGTTAAAATAATATTGTGACAAGACCCATCCCTTAAGTCTAGGCTATCCAACCTGTAGGCTAAATTCACAGACCATCCACAATCGTCTATTTTCCTATGCAAATCGTTTGATTTGGATGTGGAAATGGAAGTGATGGGTAAACCTGAAGAAAAACTCTTGTGGCATCGCAACCCCTTACGCATTATGCGTAATTCTAAAAATGTTTTCTTTAGCTGTGCTTATTTTTTAATTGCTAAGTTCTTATTTCCACCTCAACCCTTTTTGCCCAAAGCCTAAATCTCTTTCAGCCTTGCGACTGCCAAAAAGTTCAACCAAGTGTGTAAAGTTTTTCTCACTGAAGAGGGTGGTGGAGCAGCTTTTGCATTAAAATTGTGTAAATGGATTTTGCTAATGGATCCAATAATTCATTTACAATTTTACTTTTTAGCCTGGCAAATGTTATTTGCGCCAAGGTAAATAGGAGTCAAAACGACTTGGCCGCACTTTTCTGCGGTCGCCGAGTGGAGGAAGACAAAAGTGGTTTTGCCTTTGGTTTTTGGGTGGTTTCTGCTTAGTTCTTTTTGGTGGTG